TCCAGGTCCGTTATCCTGAAAACCATGTCAGTTTTATCTTTACGATTACTCCTTGTTCGTAATGTATGTAAATGTTGAATCACTATGTTGTACACCTGGAACTGATATAAAATCAGTTATACCTCAATTTAAAAAATTACTCTTTGTGCCCTGGCCAGTTTGGCTCAGAGGTTAGAGTGTTGGCCTGTGGACCGAAGGGGCTTGTGTTTGATTCCCGGTCAAGGGCACGTGCTTGGGTTGCAGGTTCCATCCCCAGACCTGGTTGGGGTCAGGCAGGAGGCAACCTATCTATATGTCTTTTTCACATCAATGTGTCTTTCTTCCCCCTCCCTCCCTTCCATTCTATCTAAAAATCAATGGAAAAATATTCTTGGGTGCGGATTAACCAAAAAAAATTACTCTTTGGTTATTACAGACACAGATTTGCTCAGCAGTTACTTGTGAAGCTAACTGGACCGTATGTCATTTTATTTTTATTTTATTTTATTTTTTTATCCTCACCTAAGGACATTTTCCCATTTTTTGTTCAGATAGAGTAGGAGGGAGAGAGAGGAATATATAGAGAGAAACATCAATGTGAAAGGGACACATCGAGTGGTTGCCACCCATACAACCCAACCAGAGCCAGGGACAAAGCTGCAACCGAGGTAGGTGCCCTTAGCGGGAACTGAACCCGGGTCTCTCTGGACCACAGGCCGATGTTCTAACCGCTGCGCCAAACCAGCCAGGGCCTATACGTCATTTTATATTTAAATCTCTCTTTTCTTATTACTTCTCGGGGAAATGAAATGGTGCACGAAGAAGGTTTGGAATCAGACTTCCCAGTTCAAGTCCCAGCTTGACCATTTAATGACTATTATTTTAACCCCCTTTGCCTCAGTTTTCTTTGTTATAAATTGGGGATAATAATAATGTCTATCCTGAAAGGGTTGTAGTAAATGAATTTAAGTATAAGGCACTTAGAACAATTTCTGGCTCAAATTAAATTCTCTATGAAAGTTAACCATAGAATTAGAAACAGTTGTTGAATTATTTATTCACTGACATTACTTAGGTGTCTGCATACCGGTTATTTTCCAAGAGTAATGCTTATAGAATCTGTACCAAATAAAATGATGAGGAAAGACTGTACTCGTTGGCAGATTTTTTTTTTTCTTTTGTTAAGGAGATGTCAGCAGCTAAGCTTAATTAATTACTTTGCAAACATTGTGATATGTAAATAATGCTGGGTAAGTTCTAAGAGCATAATTATTTAGATTCATTTTTCCCAGTAGGATGATACTCTTGGGTTTTATGACGTGTGTGTGTGTGTGTATGTGTGTGTGTTAATGTGTCTTAAAAAGGAAAAAACAACTTCCATTCAAAAAATTAATTTTCAGTTTTATAAATTGAGTCACATTATTTAAGATTGATTTAGAGCTGTCTATTTTTACCTTGTGTTTGATGACTTCGTCTGTTAAGGAGGACTGCATTTTCTCTACTATTTGCAGTCGCTGTGGTCTCAGATAGAATTCTGTAATGTGTGTCATAGGTCTTCATTTTAGTCCTTTTGCTTTCCCATACCAGTTTCTGACTTGGTTGTCACCGTTTATGTTTGTGAATTATGGTCACGTATGTTGTTTTTTGAGCCCAACTAATTCTTAAAAATCTTAGGAATACTTTTTTGCTGTTGAAGATTTCTTTCTTTATAATTTTAATAATTAAATGTTCCCCTTTTCACATCCAAGTCTTAAGCTTTGTGCAAATTGGAAATAGGTCATCTGAAATAGTTGAGAGTCTTTGAATAGCATATCTGGATACCTAGATGGTTGAAGATTAATTTTTATGATATTGATATTTGTATATATACAATTGCCTATTTGTTTCTGTTATTGTTTCTTAAATCATTTGTGTCATTTAAGGGAAAAAATGCTTAATTTTCATATATGATAGGAAGACTTATACTGGAACACTCTTATATAAACAAAGGCAGTGAGTTTTTTTTCATATTAGAACTCCAAATCAGACCTTAATAAAACGGCATTATTCTAGTCTTTAGCTGGAGGAGTGCATTTTTTCCGTATACAAAAAACATAACTTCTTAGACTATTCAGAGTAGGATCCTCTGAATTTATAGCTGCATCATTAAGAGGCCTGATCTCATCTGTAACTGCTGTTTTAAATCTCTGATTAAGGAAGACTAGACAGAATCTAGTTGTGTATTGTAGGGGGTTGGTATATCTTTGGTGTATGGAGCCTGCAGTTTTTGTTATTTGAAAAATAAAAAATTTTAATTTATCTTAGAAAATTAAAATTTATGAAATACATACCAACACATCTTGGGTCAAGAGGTGGGCAGGGAGAAAAATTTCATTTCTTCTTTGACCTTGATGAGCCTCCTGGGGATGTTGATTGACTCTGGACAGCCTGTCTCAAGGATCTTTCTGCTTCGACACTGGGAGCAGGTGCCCACCCTTGCCTGGACGCGAGGGCACAGGCTTAGCGTTGCCGTGCACTGCTGTAATTCTAGTGAGGAGCTTCTGGATGGCTTGCTGTACTCTGAATTAGTGAAGGTGCTTCTCATTTTTTAAATGCCCTGCTTTATAGCATCCTGGGAGATTCATTGCACTTTTAATTGGGAACCCTTTGGCAGAGAATGCCAACAGGATCATTGCTGTCAGAGAATCCCCTGGGTGTGTTTTTTGATGTTCAGTAGCTATTTGTTGTGGGATCTCTCGACTGTGTTGTTCCCAGGAATTTTGAGTGTTTCCAGTTATGGTTATTTGCACGTGGCCTCAAATCCACCCATAGGCAATGTTGGTTATCAGCAAGATGCCACTGTTCAGATCTTGAGTGCGTCCATAATATCTTTCTCTTATTTGCTAGGCAGAAGATGGTGTTAGTGATTGCGAGCTGCTGGCTGGCACCCTTGCAGAGCAGGAGTGAGTGAGTGCTGTTCAGCTTCCGGTCCTGTGAGTCTGATGCCTTTCCTCCCTGTCTGGGCATCACTGCCAACCAAACACATGCATCGAAGTCCTTCATGATCATCAGTTTGTCAGATGATTATATTGTTGCAAAGAGTCTTGTCCAGGTCTTTTGTATCTTTTTTTTCTTTTTGTCACCTTGGTGTATGTCCATTGTGATGGGGACATAGGCAATGATGATGTTGGAAAAAGGCACAATATGTATCATGGCAACACTAGTGATTTTAGGTTTAGTGAATGATTACAAACTTTTCTAAGGGAAAGCTTTTCCCATGCACCAGTGTCGTCAGCCCAGTGCTGCATGGGCTGTGGCTCAACAAGTGAACTTGGTCCAGTCCTGTGGTGCCACCTGTGTTTGCAGCAGCTTGCTCATTTTTCATGTGGATTGCTTCATAGTATGGTGTGCTGTTGCCATCTGCCGCACCTGTGTTACAGGGTAAGAGGATGTTTTTCATGTTCTTGCACAGTGCATCACAGAAGTGGAAGCCTTTGAAATGCAACAAATCAATGAGGCTTGGTTGGCAAAAGGTGGACAATCTCTAGAACGCTTTTCTCTTGTCCTCCTCTCCATCGGAACTAAGTACTACGGTCCTGAGCAAGATGCGATGCGTGGCCAGGGGACAGGCAGAGAATGCTGTGGAAAGGAAGCCCCACCTGTTTGCATTGAAGTGTGGAATTGGGATACCCTGACCACAACCAGACTGAAATTGTGTGGCCTGTAACAGGGAAGGGTGATGTGGAGTCATCTGACCTGGTCTGTTGGTGAACAGTCATTATGTTGTATGACTGCGACCAAAAGACAGACCTGTAGCACAGCTTCCTGTATCTTCATCTACCATATTTGCTGCTGTTGAGTGAGGCCCTTACATTTGATATATTGTTTAAGTCCTTCACTTTTAAATTCAGTGTCAAGGCCAGAAATCCTCTGTGTACTAAAGAGCACTTCACCGTTACATTCCTTGAGGCAAAACTGTAGCTTATCGGGAGATATGTATGGTCGTATATGTTGCTGACAGTGGTGGTCACAACATCATCCCTTAGTTTGATGAACATTTAGATTCCACCACAAATGGAAACTTTCTCCCTTTGTAGAAAAGTGCTTTTGCAAATTTCCACTGGAATTGAGATACCACGTTGAGGCTAGCTTTGGATATATGTGAGGTTACTGCTTATGGCCCCAGGTCCTCTGTCCCTCTACATAGAAACTCCTCACTTGTAGTTCTGGAATGAAAATTTTTGAGAAAGTGCAGAAGGAGAAATTAGGATCCTTAAGTGAAAGTGTAAGTGGATTGAACTTCATCTGCCCGTTTCAGGGTTATGTACTACTTTTTTTTTTTTCTGGTTTCTTTATGGGATGTTGACTTTCACTTAGTTACCAGTTAGAGGTATTCTGCTAGGAGATTTCACATCCAACAAATCCAAGGTAAGAAGGACTGTAATGGACAGGCTGTTTTCTCCTAGAGTGGGGGGATGAATACACCCCTTCCTTGGAGAGACTCTCCAGAGCCCCAGCATTTATTGTGAGCTGAATTTAATTCCAACATTTTTAGATACAAGAAAAACATTTACCAATGGAATAAATTGATGGAAAGATGATATTTATTAAGGAAACCTGATTCCTAAGCATGGAAATTGAAACCTTTAAACTGCATTTAGTTAAATTATGGGCTTTGGGATAAGCAATTATGATTTTAATAATTACTGTAAATGTCAAACAGCAAGTGATTGAGTTATGGATTTTTATTCCATGAAATAATTATAGATACTACATAACTAATTGATTTTTTATTAGGGTGATCATTCAAATGACATGAATCTTTTTCACAGTATGTGTGTGTATAGTACCAGGATGATCAAGCCTTCTGTTGAGTTTGTCTGCCTTCCCTCCCTTAGTGGTGATCCAGGGATTTTACTGTGTATGATAAACGGTCAATAAGCTGTTCACTGATGTCTTGTCGACACAAAATAGAAAATTGGATTATTGGAATTTATTATTTGGGGGCATCTGGCTCATCCTTGTTTTTGTTTGTTAAACAGGAAAAGGACCAGCGCAGCCTAGACATAAACACTGCCAAGTGCATGTTGGGACTGTTATTAGGAAAAATCTGGCCCCTTTTTCCAGTTTTTCACCAGTTCTTAGAGGTACCAAATTGTTATTTTATGGAATGTATTTTTGCTTGCTTAGAACTACCAATTATACTTTAACCATTTCATGTAATTTTCTGTGTGCTGTACTTTTCTGCCTGTGGGAATCGTGGCGACAGAACTGCTCCCGTCGGGGCCTGCTCCTCCGCAGGCGTCTGGGTGGAGCTGGTCCGGGTCGCAGCGCTCCTGGTCCAGGCGCATCCCAGACAGCTGCGCTGCCCTGGGCTCTCCGCGCTCGTCCTCACTGCAGACGCTTCACTTCGGTTTAACTTCCTGCTCTTTATCACAGCAGTGAAACAGGACTCACTTTCCTTTATGACTCTAGGTGAATTTCCACTTTCATTAAGCAAGGATTAAAAAATAGGTATCAGCCTTCTTATTAAAAGAAGTGTGTAATATAGTCGTCTTTGCTCTTATCTCAAAGTTACTTGGGGATCTTGGGTCAATCAGTTGTTAGGACAAACTCTCCTTCAGTTGAAATTTCCTTCCCATCTGTGTTAGAAATAGCCCAGCACTTGACCCCATCATCGTTTCGTTGCTTCAAGGATGACTAATAAAAACTCGGAGCTGCTGGGTGCAGGAGCTGGTCGGAGGCCCGGTCACGCTGTCGCAGTTGGAGGGAGTACCTGAGCTGGAGGTGTGATGCTAGGGTTGTCATATACAGACAGCATCCTCCTTGTCCTCCAGCCCCAAACCCACTTTTTTTCCTTTGCCCCAGAAACCTTTTAAAAATGTACTTTGCTTGAAAGGATGAGGTTGTTGGATCTTTGAGGAAATCTTGGCCTTACCCTGACTCCAGTTTCACTCTTGAAATAATCTTTCTTACAACTTACTTTATGTAATTGTCTGAAAAAATTTCCAACTGATACGATTCTTGGAGGACTGTTATTAAAAACTACTTGTAACAGTGCTAACTGGAACTCCTCAAGAAAGGTATAAAAACTAGTTTTAATATAAAAAGTATATGTTTACCTGACAGTTCACACTGCAAATGATTGGTTCTAATTTCTCTGACAACCCTGTGAAACGTTAGCTTTCTTGGGGAAATGGGAGAAATGGTTCTTGTTCTCGGAGTTCAGCCGAGGGGTGCCTGAGTGAGGGGTTCTTGAGCCAGCGACCTGCCGCCACCACCCGGTTGGACCGCGCAGCCCAGGAGCCCCCAGCGGTCTCAGAGCCCGGCCTTGCTTTTAGTTGCTTAGAAAGTGGAACTTGTAGTCGGTCTGCTTTGTTCTCTTTCTTACTAGTTTGCATTTTACTTTCAAAAGGAGACAGTCATCCTTTCATTTTCAGCTTTTCTTGTGTTTGCATCCTCAAAACTGTTGGCGCACCTCTCTGCTCTGCGTGTGCTTGGATCATTTTCCAGCGCATCTGATGTGAGTGCTAGGGTGTATAATGGTCTGCTCTGGCTTTGATTTTCAAATCTTTGTACAAGGATACTGTATTTTAAAGTACACACATGGCATATTTCTTGTCTAAGAGGAATAGAAAACTCCATGGCTATTCTGATTAATTTTATGATCAGATTGAAGTTTTGAGTTATTAATTAGCACAGTTGTTTTTCAGTGGCTGTAGCGCCTAGTCTGAGACCTCCTCCTCAAGCGGCCCACTACAGCTTGACAGAGAACATCCGGTCATGGCAGGGCTCGTTCATGGAGCTGCTCTTTATTTAGCACTTACTGTGTGCCAAGCACGAATGAGGGCTTTCCCTAAATTATCTCTTAATCCTTGCATCATCTCTGTGAAGTAGGTGTCATCCCCATTTTAGTTAGATAAAAGGGCTTTTGCAGTCTAGAAAGTTCACTTCTAGGGATATAAAATTGTGTTTCTTTAATGTGCTTGTCATTTTGTGTTGGGCCCCGTAATATTTTTGTAATGAAAGTTGTCACCCTAAGTTCCACTCCTGCTCTCTCTCACCATCCTCCTAGACTGGTGCTTAACATACCAAATAGAAAGAGTTAACCTTTATGGACTGTATTAAGTTGATTCATATAGCAATTGAAACCATCCCACTTGTAAATTGTGTCAGTAATTCATATTACTTTTCCCTCCATCAGCAATCAAAATACAAAGTTATTAACAAAGATCAGTGGTGCAATGTGCTAGAGTTTAGCAGAACAATCAATCTTGACCTCAGCAACTACGACGAAGACGGCGCGTGTAAGTACCGGTGGTGGGGTCCCTCGTCCTCCCGTTGCCGCACTTTGCGCATCCTTCTCGTTGTGGAAGCCTCGGAGCCATGTTGTTTTCTCTCTCTCTTCAGGGCCGGTTTTGTTGGACGAGTTTGTGGAGTGGTATAAAGACAAGCAGATGTCCTAGGACTTTATGCATAGCAGCGCGAGAGTCACTGTTACCACAGTTATGTCAACCATTAGCCATAAATTGCTGTTTGTATCAAAGCGCATGCTGCTTTTCTTGCACTGTCTCCCTTTTGTAGGGACGTTTTTTGGTGTTTGCTATTGAATGGGCCAGCTCTGCCTGCTGTGTGGCATTGTTCTCTTGGAAGGCTGCTTTGCAGTTTGTATTTACACTACAGATTGGTGAATTTGCCAACGTCCTCACTGTGATTATGTGTATATTGCTGTTTAAATTTTGTATATGTGTATAAAAAGAAAAAGCTTCACCTAGAGATTATTTCTGCAAAAATGTATTGTAAAAATAATTTTTGTGGCATATTTCTAGTCCCTTTTTTCAAATGAACCAATTATACTTTATTTGGTCTCAAATGTAGCAATTTCAGAAAACAAGACAGAACAACTGTTACCATAAGTAAATGTTGCCAGAATTCACCATATTGTTCAAGAGGCCAACTTTTGGAAGGAGGTGGGAGTTACAACTTTACAGAGGCATATGCCAAATATAATTTGGTTTACCTGAATATTTGCATTTTTAAATGATGAAACTTAGAATTATTTAAACATAGACATGTACCATGTCACCAATCATTTCCACCATGCAAGGTATAGGTGTTTATTTTCTGATGTTAAAAAGCTGTAGTAATTTGAATATAGGTACAAATGAACAAATTAAAATTGCACCTTTTTAAAAATAGAATGGTTATAAACTCTTGTAGACTTCCCTCGGTGTTCTTTTTTTTCTCTTGCATTCTGGTCAGGGTTTGCTCTGCCATGCTTTCTGTGGCATCTAAGTGAATGTGTTTTGCCTCCTCCACGGAAGCTCAGTGGTTTGCTAGCATTTTATAATCGCAGAGCAATTTTAGTTGTGGCTTGGATTTTTAGTTAAGCTTTCATGGTGTCCAACTTTCTAGTTTTTTGGAAACAGAACTCTTATTATAAGTGAGAGGTGTTTTGTTTTGTTTTCCTTTTTGTTTCTTTCATGCTAGGCTTTTCCTGGCAGAATGTCCATTGCAGGCAGTGGACATGGAACCACCAGCATTGAGCTCACTGTTACACAGGAGGACCCTTCCTGGAGAGGCTGCTCGCGTTGCCTGCGTCCTTTGTACAGAAAGGTGATAGCCATTATTTATGTGGATGAGGAAGAGAGGAAACAGGACAGGATGTTTAGGTTTGTATTTGATGTCTTTTTTTTTTTCTTCCTTCCCCTTGCCTTACCCTTTTTAGGAAATGTATAGATAACATGTTTTTCCCTTAACTATCTGGTGCTATTGAGTGACTAATTTAGTCCCTAAAGTTTTGTGAAAACCTAAAAGTCTAATGACTTAAACCAAGTAAAAAGCTAATGGTGCATTTGAACAAGTGAATGCTACCGTTGTGAGCAAGATCCGTGCTTGAACATGTAATGATTGGAAGAGGTTTGGATTATTTCAACATCTGGCTGAAATCTTTCGGGTTAAATGTGAACCTTTAAATGGCATTCCGTGAGGGCAATACACAGACAGTGCTCCTCTCGACCACTATTTCACAGTTTCTTTGCAAGCAGTGTTCAGATTTTCATATTTTTTTCTCTAACTGAACCACCAAAGACAGAAATTTTGTATGTATATACAGTGTGTGCTCATATACAAAATCATGATCTGGTAGAATTGCTTCTTTTTTCTACCAAGTAGAAAGGTTTGGTTTGCTGTGAAATAAACCAGAAGTTTGAAAAACCCTGTAGTGATTAAGCACACTTAATCATTCCTTGTTTAGGTATTGTAGACTCACTTGTATCTTACAAATTCATACCAGTTTGCACAAATTAATATCGGAAAAGAATAGGAGATGTTGATGGCAAGCATAGCTCTGGAGACCAGTGTGTTGAGGGGGCGGGGGGCTCCATGCGATGGTCGGTTCCAGCAAAGATAGGCCATGGGTTCAGGTCTGTGGGGAACTTGGTTCACTTGCAGAAGTATTCCATGAAGTCGAGAAAACTCACGCTGTAAAGTCAACAGTTCTTAAAATTGGTCAAACAAAAGTCAGAAATGAATATATCGATATAAATCATAGATGAGAGTATTCTAAAAGTTACTGTTAAAGACGAGAGACTCTTTAACACTGAGCCCAGTGAGTCCTAAAACACAGGACTGGTACAGAGGAGACGTTACATTTCATCCACAAGGGACATTTGTTGACGGTGGAACCCAGGTTTGAAACTGTTTCATGCTGTATAATATGAAGGTATTCTAAAGAGAGAATCTTGCATATGTACACAACTCCAAATAATCTTTAAACTCCCTTGAAAAATAAATCTCTTTGGCTTCAGAGTGCCCGCCCTTGGTTTTCTTGATGTTATGTAGTTATTTTTAAGGGAAGGAAAAGGGGTCAGATAGTAATAAGATACCTTTTCTTAAAAATATCCGTAAGTTACATAGAATTGAGCAATTATCAAGCACTTACTTACTGGCTGATGTTAAATAAATTGGGGTGCCTTCTTCTGGTTTTTCTTTATTACCCGAGTCTGCATCCTTTTTCTCTTTTCATGGTGTTTTGAATTCCACACTGCAGCACGGTCGTAGCAGAATAAACTTTTAGAAGTTTACTGCAGTAGGTCAGAAATCTCATGAAATGCCATAAACGCCCACTGTAGTGTCACATGCCGCTTTTTTGAAGCATGAACTCTCAATTGAGTTTTTTATAAATCCGACTAGACAAACCTTCTGGTTTAAAAACAGGTTTCTGTTGCCTCTCAGTCTCCATTTTAACAGTGCTTTTGAGGTTTATACAAAAAGCTTTAAAACTCTGTTTGTGCCCTTGGTTTTAATGCGTACAACTGCTAAAATACCTCTGTAAGCCTTATCTTTTATTCTTTCATACGTTATGTTGTATAATAAATGTATAGAATTCATGGACCAACTGAAATGTTGGGTGTCTGTAAATGAGACCAAAACGTGGGTTGCTTTTTTTTCATGAAATAATTTGTTGGGGTTACTGTTACATGAACAGCAGCTCACCTAGAACTGTGAATGCTTCGTGTCGTCAGTATTTGCATTACATTCATGAACGTGTGCAAGTCCTGTGACTCCCAGCTTAACTCACATACTGTTATGCCACCTGACTTGAGTACAGCAAACTGGTTTTAGGTTTTAATGGAATTGATGTAAAATGATATCCCATAAATAAAAGTATTTGTGTTTGGTTTCAGAACTGATTGTGTATTCTTCTCCTCTGGCTTTTTCTTCCAATTCTGCTTAAGGTAGTTTTTATGGTATTTTGTTTTTTATGTGTTTCCTTTTCCCAACTTTTTATATTGAAAAATATCACAGCATAGGAAAAAAGGCATGAATCATATAATGAACACCCATTCATATACCTGTCCCTTAGATTTTCCAGTTTTTAACATTTTGCCACATTTCTCTGCCACGCTGAGTATGTGTGTATTTCTCTCTATAAATACAGATTTTTTTCTGAACCACCTGAGAGTAAATTACATTCTTACACTTTATGCCTAATATTTCCAAACAAGGACATCCTTATAACCACAATACAATGATCACATTAAATAAATTTAACATTGATCCAGTGCTTTACCCAGTATACCATCTAGATGAAAATCTCCCCATTTGTACCAATTTGATAGCTATTTTAGGTTTAATCCAGGGTAAGCATTGGGTTTAGTTGTCGTGCCTCTTTAGTCTGTCTTCATCTAGAACAGTTCCCAGATACAGTGCAAACGTTCTGTGGCCGAGTAGTGATTTTAAAAATACTACCACATGCTGTGTATTTCTGAACATTGAGCCGATAGTTGGGTGCTTACTGTGTGCCAGGAGCTGGGCAGAAATGACTGTGTTTATGGCCACCACCCAGCTAGTCTGGAAATGTGTGTCACCGGAATGGCAGCTCCCTGCCGCAGACCTCCGGCGCAGTGTACACGGCCAGGCGTGTGTGGAAGGAAGTGAGTGTCAGAGTTCACAAGGGGCGAGGGATTGTCAGGGCCTGAGACCCTCATGTGAAGGTGAGTGAAACCAAGAACCAGGAAGGACTGAGGTAGACTTTCAGATTTTCAGAAGCTTGAAAACAAAAGAGAAGGTAAAAAATATTCCTAAAAAAACAGAATCGGGAACCTAGGTGCACACTGTTTACACTGGTGATATGTGTAGATGGTTCTCTTTTTTTAACATTGTTTTTCCTTCATTGATTTTCGAGAGAGAGGAAGGGAAAGGGAGAGAGAAACATCGATGAGAGAGAACATCAATTGACCACTTCCTGCATGCCCCCCACTGGGGATCGGACCCACAACCTGGGCATGTGTCCTGACCGGGAATCAAACCAGCGACCTCTTGGTGCATGGGTCAGTGCTCAACCACTGAGCCACACCAGCCGGGCTACAGATGATTCTTTCAAGTATAATTTGGGCCGAAAGCTGAGGATCAAACCAGGAAAATACTCTTCGTGTACTACAAAGAGAAGAGATGGATGGTGGGTGGACATAGAGGAAAAAGCTTAATCCTAAATTGATAGAAAGGAGTGGGAAGTGACAAATGGATTCTTATGGACAGGGGTTTTTTTTTATCTTCACCGGAGGACATTTTTCCATTTTTTGTTCAGATAGAGTGGGAGGGAAAGAGGGAGAGAGAGAGAGAAACATCGATGTGAAAGGGACACATCGAGTGGCTGCCACCTGCACAACCCAACCAGGGCCGGGGACAAACTGCAACCGAGGTACGTGCCCTTAGTGGGAACCGAACCCGGGTCTCTCTGGACTGCAGGCTGACGCTCTAACCGCTGAGCCAAACCGGCCAGGGCATGGATGGGATTTTTAACCTGGGCTACAGCGACAGTAGAAAGTTGCCACGCACTATTATTGTGTATTGCTATTATTCAGTAATAAAAACAGGAACAAGAGATGTATTCTTTGGGCAATACTAGCATTGCACATACAAATGAACTGGAGTTGAAGTAGAGTTCTCCAGCAATGTCGTCAGAACTGGGGAGAGAACATCACCTATGTCTTCAAGACACAAGGCCTGGCCCTGGCCAGTTTGGCTCAGCGGTTAGAGCGTTGGCCTGCGGTCCGGAGAGACCCGGGTTCGGTTCCCGCTAAGGGCACGTACTTCGGTTGCAGTTTGTCCCCGGCCCTGGTTGGTCGTGCAGGTGGCAGCCACTCGATGTGTCCCTTCACGTTGATGTTTCTCTCTCTCCCTCTCCCTTCCTCTCTCTCCCTCCCACTCTATCTGTACAAAAAAATGGGAAAATATCCTCGGTTGAGGATTAAAAAAAAAAAGACACAAGGCCCGGCTGAGGTGCAGGTTTGCAGGAAGCCTGCTCGAAAGGGAGGCATTGGAGCTTTTCGAAGTAATGGGATGAAGAGGAAAGTGAACTGAAAAATGAAAAACCATTACCCACAGAAATGGAAGATCATTGGGTCAACCCTGGGCTATAGCACTGGGGAGAGTCAGCTACTTTTTTCTGGACAGCAACTTTTTCTATTTATTTGGACTTACAGGAAGGTAGGACATGTTTTCCATGGTGCTGTAATGTGTTGTGTCTTATGTAGCTGACTCATTTGTATGTTTTTCACAAATCCTGATGTGAAGAACTTTTAGACAGAAGATTAGAGTAATGCTTTTATGATTCCTTTAGGAAGAATTGCCTTTGGAACTTTGTTTATAGCTAGAATGGCTAGAACGAAAAAACAAAAAAAACCCTCCCACGTAGGCAATGATACATAAGCTTTCTGGCCCTGTCTACTTATCTAAGCCTGTAGAGCAGAACACCATCCAAAATAGGGCATGTTGACCACTTTGACCCATTCAGCAGAAATTTGTTCCTTTTTTTTTTTTTTCCTCCACTGAATTTGTCCCTGGCATTTATCTTCAGTTGCCTAAACAAAAAACAAAATCCCATGTATATAGAAGTACTTGGTTAGACATTAGGATAGGTAAGTAGGCCATGCTGAGAATAATAATTGGAAACTGAAAAACAAAAGTTGACTGTAGTAATTCAATGGAAAATTTAAAAAACATTTATAATGTAAATCCCTTCTGACAAAGTGCATTCAGTCCTTTGAAAGAGATTCCTTTGCAGTCACTGGGGAGCGCGGACTGTGATGACCCCTGGCAGTGAGCCAGCTGGAAAGGGCTGCTTTCCAGAGGGGCCGGCTCACAACTGCCGGGTTCGAACAGCTGAAATCCAAGCTGGTGTTCTCCAGAGCTGTCCCTGGATGTGCGACCATACGGAGCTGCATCTGGGCCCAGTACCGATGAACTAAGTCACGAAAGTTGTGAACCTGCTTCCGGTAGTACATATAGTGAAAGACACTGTATTTCGTCTGGACTTTTTTTTTTTTTTTTTTGCTTCATGACCTGTGGTGGCTCCTAAATACCCCCATCTTGAAAGTAGGACTGGGACAAGGGTTATGATCCTATCACAGATACACCCCAAAATCATTGAATAAAATACGAGGTGCCTTCTAGCAATCTGTTCTGCATGTCTTGGTGCTCATGAGTCCTTCAAGTCCCTGTTTCTCCAATAGCAAGCTTGGGTTTCAGATTCCCAGTGCAACCATTGTACCAACAAACTGTATGGTAGGCAGGATTCCTATGTGAAATTGGGAACACAGGCGTTCAAGGTTATAACATGTTGAGAGGGAGCTGGGTAAATAGAAAATGGATTGAAGAATTAGGAAGGACCTTGCAATGGGAGGTCTCGTGCCTGTTAGGTTTCAGTGGCACTAGCCACTTACAAATGGGAGACCAGAAAGACTGACTGAGTTGGAGCTGGGAGTTCCTTTTGGAGAGAAGGGCGTTATAGGGATCAAGACTCTCCTTACAGGCTGCACGCAAAGAGCAATAGAGGCAGCAAAGAGCTTAGGCTTTTAAGGATGGAAGTCTGTGGTAGTCTCCAAGAGATGGCAATACAGTTGATGAAAAGATGCCAACAGAAAAAATGGGGACTTAAATGATAAAGGATATGGACGACACTGAGGTAGCTACATAAAGCAGATGATAAAGCATGTTCCCTGGTGGAAGAACTGCTAACCCGATCCCCAGAGTTCCCTATGGGTGTCCAGCTATAGTTGAAACCACTCCCACACAGCAAGGATTCTACCAGGCAGGATGCTCTCTCTGCCCTTCTCACAAGGGCTTTAGCCCTCTGCCACCCTCTGGAGACTTTGGCCCAAGCCTGCCCACCCCCAGGTGGAAGTAATGTTCAGAACACCCAGCTCGTTCCCCACAGGAAGGGGGACAGAGGCCAGCTTTCTAGGAGCATCTCTACCCAGACCCAGCCTTTCGGCATTTTTGTAAAGAAGAGCTCACCCATAGGAGGAAGACCCCAAGGATTCTGGAAGAAGAGTGTGAAGCTAAGGTGCTGGGAGGTGAGAAGGGTCAGACAGTATGGGACGGAGATTCGGTGCAAGGGAACCTCGTGGGGAGAGACCAGGAGTGAGTTGGGCTGAGGTGCAGATGAGAGGACTTGGCTGGAAGGACAGTGGGAAGAACGGGAAATTCACCTGCTAACTAATTTTTAAAGGCTCAATGCTCATAGTGTGTTTGCATCAAATTTCCCATCGAGGAGGCATTGACTGCCAGCATTTGGTCACAGGGAGAGCATGCAGGCTGGTGGAGACCCTGTGCTCTCTCCTATCATCAGAATTGACACAGTTTCCATGCAGCTCACGCTTTTCTATGCGGTTACATTGTCAATATCTTTGCAGCTAAGCCGTCTCATTGCTTCGGTCTCCCCTTGAGCCCCATCCCCATCCTGCTAAAAGAATCCTTGGCTAAAAGACACCTGCAACCATCTCCCTCTCCCTTCAGCATGGGCATTTGGAGCTAAGGGAGCCAACTTGAGTGGGTCTTTGTAGGCAAAGTGCTTTTTGAAATCTGATCAATGTGAGATGACATTGCAGGTCACAGACTCTGGATACTGAACAAGAAAAAATTAGACTCTGTATCTTTCTGGTTCAACACAGTCCTCTTCATACTTCTGCGCACTGATGCCATGTGCATACCCATGGGACTTGTTTCGAGAGTGGGTTGGTTACCAGCAAGCTGTAAGGGGTTCCAGGGATGTAGTCAAGAAGGTCAGTTGGTGGCTTATTGACATCGTTGAGTTCCTTTCAGAAGAGAACACGGCCAGCCAGGCCACGTGCCTTATACTGATCTCCTTGAATACCTTTCAACAATCAC